TCCAAGGGGATCCAAGAATGTTGATGCCTAGGGACTCGAATCGTTGACAATAATTGACATTTGTGCTGTGCAAATCGGGGAGACAGGTGACGCAAAATGGTCACCCTCACGGTTTAATGAACATCCGCTGGTGGGTAGAGCGAGCACAGTGCATGTACTGTACAGTACACATATGTACGAGTTGTTGTACTCCGTTAAAACTTGACCCTTCTGTCTTCCCGAGATACGCCTTTCCAATCTTTATCCGGGGCAAAACCTCGGAGTAGGTCAATGTGTGGTACTGTACGGAGGACCCAGTGACCATCCATGATTCCGGTGAATTGAAGATCTTAGTCATCGTAATCATGTCATAGCCAACTTGGATGGCATGGGCATGGGCATGGATCTCAAAACGAGGGGGGGGGGGGGGAGAAGAGCCCCTGGGGGACCAAACAGCTTCCAATCTACCTAATCTGCAGGGCTGCGCAGCTTCTGACAGCAGCGGCTCGATTTCGAGGGATTGGACCCGGGAAGCAGAAAACTAACTGCGATGCCAAGCATCTCGAGGGGAAAGGCTGTTCAATCAGAAACTGCGTTGGTGTTTCTTTTTGGTTTGCGATCTGGCGCAGCCGCGTATGCGTACTGTTAGTCTAAGCGCCCGTCGGGCTGGGAGTATACCGATGAGTAATTTCCTACCTCTGATCCTGACCCTGACTTTTGCCGATGATGTCTCGGGAGTGAGACATGGATAGGGCGAAGGTGCTTGGGGGGGTTTTTCCGAGACTGGGTGCTGGAACTGCTTACCACAAGGTATACAGTCATTCTTTGCTTCATGACCCTTTTGATCGTAGCAACAGCCATTGAGCAATCACAATGAAAGGCTAAAAGTAGTGATAAGGTCCGACCTTATGACCTCCGTCCCGCAGGCTGAGGTGGCGTGGCTGAGCTAGCGCAGGGTATACGAGTCCCTACAGCACCAAGACTTGTGGCACACACTATCTACGTACACAATCTACTCGAGTGGCACTTGTCTATAGATTGTGGAAGAAAAGAAGATCTAGGGTCAGGTCGTCCCCCTTCCCTCATCTGGAACCATAATCAAAGAACCAAACCCACCACGTACCCATCAATCGCTTACAGCAAATAGCCGGGCAAAATCCAGACAAAACCCTCCATCATCGGCACTTAGTCATCCGCCCGCTGCCGAGCCAACCGAGGCGCTGTAGATCAGCCTGTTTTTGTTTTTGTTTTTTTTTATTTTTTTTTTTCGGTACTGTTTCTCAACAAACAATTCACGCCGGTGATAATCTGGATGACATCCTCCAGTATCTGAGACTAATGTCCAGCCAATGTCCCAAGAAAAGGAAAAGAATGCAAATTTTTCCCGCTTCGGAAACTCACATGATCAAATGATGATGAGATGATCCTCGTGGAACAAGAAGGGAAGCGGAAGAAGATCTGCCAGAATGTCTTGGCAGCAGACAAAAGGCTAGATTGACTAAGCGGCAAGTGAGTAAGCTTGGTACCCGTAAGGCGAAAACCCCTTCCCGGTCAAGGGTTATTGGTTCCCATGGACCAGAAATCTGCTTAAGATGGAGATACGCAGCATGAAGAAACAACGGTCCAGAGCAGATCTTCACGAGATTCTTCTGAAGACAGATGTCGCTCCAACCACTCCCTTAACTTTCTTCACCTTAACCACTTTAGGACTCAATCATTTTTCTCCATTTCGGTGATCGCAGCAAACGATGATGCACCCTTGTTTCTGATCTAGACTGAGACGATCTGTAAGCGAGACCGCCAAGCCCGGTTTCGATTCCGGGTACGTACGTACTGTGCGTATGTGCATAATCAGACACAACTACGGAGTACTCAGTAAAAGTGACGACGACGACCCTGATTGACCCTTCCGTAGTGGTTCTCTATTCCTGGCTATCCCCGCCCACAAGTTGAAACAACCGCTGACTCAACAGCAGAGAACTACTTTGATAGTACTCGTTGTCATAACTAGATGAAGCTCATCCAGATACATCGCCTCCGTATCTACATATACTGTAACGGAGCACGTACGACGCAAAATCCCATCTTTGGTCCCTGGATCCGTGACCGCGACCCAGACCCATAGATTCCCAAGTCCCGAGCCCCTGGACAGCCAACCCGGCACGGAACTCTGCGTATAATATTTTACCCGGAAGGCGTGCGCGACCCAACTGTCAATGCCTGGCTGGCTCTGCAGTAAACTTTTCCTGCCTATTCAATTTGCTTAGAGTATACTGGCAGACAGACTCGGAACGAGGATCCAATCCATCAGAAAATTGACTTTACACACACACACACACACACACACACAATCAAAAAACTTTTTCCCACCCGTCGGCCAGCCGACGAATCATCTTCCTCACAATCCGATTTACCCCAAAAGTAAACAATAATAAACACTGGAACCAAGAAAACAAAAACAGTGGGACAAGTGCCGAGAAAAAAAGTCAGAGACAGACACCCAAAAAGAAGCAGGCGGCAGGCCAGAGAGACAAAAGCCCTATGGACCCTTAATCCTCAACTTCGAATTCTGCTACGGTGCTACCCCGAACTAGCACGGAGCCAAGCCTCTGGAGATTAAAGCCCACTGAACTAACGACGCGCTCGGAGGGGACCAGGGGCGATGTATGTCTCTAGTGTACGAAACGGTAAGTCATGATACGTGGTTGTTTTGGTTTTTTTTTTTTTTGTCTTGGTCGTGTCTTGGCTCGGGTCTAGCTCTTCCCTTTCCCTTCTGTCGGGAATTCCGGAGCAAGAGGGAACCGCCAACAATGTCTTTTGCATGTGGAAAACGGTGTAGGGTAACGGACAGCAATATCCGGGCTGAGACAATGATTCAGATCGAAGCGAAGCGACCAGGTGTTCATGAGTCGTTATGTTCGAGTGAGATTCGAGACTGACGGAGTACAACGAAGAGACGTACTGTAGACTAGTTAGTCTTCTTTCATCTTGAGTCGTCTCGGAGAACATCAATCCCGTACCCTAATAGCCACCACCAACTTGACTTACTACATGCTTGCGCCGCAACAGACGGAGAGAGGGGAAAGGGACGCGTGTGCATCCCTCGGATTTAAGGTTAGCTTGACAAGCCACGGAACTGCAGGGTTTGTTGACGACCCTTTTCTCTCGCGCTCGCTCTCTCTCCGCATGAAGACAAAACAGCCGAGACGGGATGGGAACTAGTGATCACGAAAGCGTCTCGTGGTTGAGGGTGGTGATGACTTTGAGCGGCACTAACTTGAGCAGTGAGGACGCAGTAGACAGATAGGTTAAGGCTTGATGATTCGCAGATCGACGTCCATAGTAGGTGCACAACCCAAGAGGTCGAGGGGTCTAGCCAGATCAACAACCCTACTTTTTAAGTCGTCACGGATACCGGATCGGGAAAAGGGTGCTGGACTCGCCACGAGAGCGGGATCGGATTGGACCTTACTGCGACTATATCAATATTGGCCGTTGAAGGGCGACTCGGATGTAGATACACAGGAAGTACATGGTCCCCCACCGTGAGGGACGATACCACATCTGCCAATGTCAACATGTTGGTTGGTTGGGGTTAGTCTCGTCCCTTCATAAGCACAGAACTCTGCCATTGAACCGAAAGGAAACAAGAGTAGAAGAAAGTCCTACAGTAATCATCAACCACAGGCTCAGGCCTCCTCCGACTCACTAACTACAAGTAGTCTACAATACACGTACGTACGTCCTCAGAACACTTGACTCTCCTCGGCCCTGAGATCTTCAGGGTCCGAAAAGAAAGTTTGGGAACCGTAGCTTGGTCGGATTTATTACGTAGGCCCACTTCAAACAATCCCCGAACAGAATACGAGTGCGAGCTTGAATTCCCAGCTCAGGGTCGTCGTTCTTGTGTTTTTCTTTTTTTTTTTTTTCCCTTTTCTTCTTGGGAATTAAATTTTTCCAGAATCTCGGACCCACGCATATGCTTTCCTCCAGTTATGTCCCACTGGCTTCTTTCTCCAAGTGGGTGGAATATCACTAGTGCAGGGAAAAATGGGCTTCGCTTGGCTTTTACCCTAGAGTCTGCTAGTGTTCTTTGCTGGGCTTGGAGGGAGGGAGGAGAGGGGGGGCTCGGTTCGGTCTAGCATGCAGGAAATTCGGTGATTTTTGTTAGAGGGCTTGATGTTTTTTTTCTCTCTCATCCAAATTGATTGTGATGTTATTACTCGGTGGGAAAGATCAAAAGGATGTTCCGAATGATTAACATCTAGAAAGTTGGGGTAAACAAGCCCTGGTATACAGCAGATCCTTTCCAACCATGTGGCCTGATATCATTACTATCAACCACCACCACCACCACCACCACCACCGACCGACCCCCTTTACCTACCTTATCACAACACAACAGTCAACAAAACAGAGAAAAAAAAATCCTGAGCAGAACAAAAAGCCACTAGGGTCAACTAAAATCCACAATTCACACAGGGCTGCGTAAGCAGAGACGTCACTCAGTGGGGTCCGAGATTTGACATGCCGCGCGGTAGAAAATTAGATTCGTTTCTCCCCCTCCCCCCTCTCCCTCTCCTTCTGCATGGCCGGAAGATACTGAGTAGGATAATACGCTTGGGGCTTTGCTTCTTGCCGGACACTAGTCCCGAAAATGCCTAACCTGGGTTTACTAGTGAGAGGAGGATGGTCAGGGCGAGCGTATCTGTGGTTGGTGTATGCCCTGCCTTCGCTCTACCTAGTCTAGACTACGTGGGTGTAAACGAGAGGGGATGGGCTAATATCAGCCCTCACAGGGCCCATGCTGCTTGATGGGAACATCATGTAAGTTTGACACTACTAGAGTAGGTAATGCTATCGAAAACACGAAGAGATGACTTGAATAAGGAATTAAGTCCGTTTCCTGATGTGCGTGGCACACGTAAGCCAACTATAACTCACCTCAATGGAGAAGCCTTTGCGAAGAGAACACAGTCCCTGGACATGTGGTAAGTTGCTATGCACGAAGAGGAAAAAGCATGTTCGGCGCCGAGAACAGCAATGCCGAGGACGACGACGACGACATCAAAGACGACGACGACGACGGAGCTTGTCTCCATTTCAGGGACCACGATTAGACTACTAACGAAACGCTCCTACAGCCGCAGATGATGAGATTGGTATCATATCTAGCGCCAATTTGCGTAATTCTTGTTTCCCTGGGCTTCCCTCCCCCTCAGCATTGCCGCTTTGATTCGCCATGGTGGAGGCCTGCTCTTATCTTGTTTACTTCGTTTCTCTGGGCGAACGGTATGCTGCACAATCCCCCTCGCGAAACCAGCCCCAGCACTCACAATCGACCGCGAATGCCCTTCGGGGCATGTCAGTTTACGTGGACGCCTACGAATGAGTGGGACTCCAATTAGCGGTTCGATAATTAGGGCTGGCGGGGGAAGATTGGATGGAAGGGAACAGGATTATTTCGCGCCGACTACGGAGGTAACTTAGCACTAAAATGGGCGGATTTATGGGGACGCAGGGCGCTCCGTCGGGTCTGTCTGTCGCTTTGCGTGATGGGAGAGAGGAGAAACCGACGGCTTCAACTTGGTATCATCTACCGCATTGTTCATCGATATCTTTCTGCCTGGATGGAAGGACAATCTCGGGACTCCTCGATTCCCCTCCCCCCTCGCTCCTTGTACGATATGGATACTTGTGAGGCTTGCTCAGGAGGAGACACAGGGGAGCCCCAATCTCGAAGCTAAGTTGGTCTCTGTCCGCCCCAGTGGGCTGGTTGATAACGAGGCGTGCTATCTCGGACAGCCGCCCCCCCTCAGCCGGAAAGTAAGTACGTACTGCCCTGCAGGAGGAAAGAGCCTACGTGTGCACTTGTGATGTCTCTCTGCTGTAGGGTCGACTCCTTGGGGGGCGAAGTAAAAGCAACATATGCTTTGCTGACTCGTAACATCCGCCGGCCCCCCCTCCCTTCCTGCAAGCAGCATATTCAGCAATGTATACAGTACATTCGAAGAGGAAAAGGAAGTCACTCAGTCAGCCACCGTAGCCCAACAGCCTCCCCTCCCCCCGTCTCGAGTGCGGAGAAAAAGGGTCTCGTGCGTCTAGGACGGCGCAGCAGCGTATCGAGTCGCACTTGCGGCACGCAAAGTAAACCTGCAGGGAAAATCATGCCTAGTCAGTGCTAGTGGCGTCGAGCACCTCACGACAGGACAATACAGACATCATCCCGCCCTCGAGGATGACGACTTGATTCCGAGATTGGGTAGATGGAAGACGCAAAAGCCCGCGCATGGCGTCGTCAGGGTAAGCAGCCACTGCGCAACAAGCCTTGTAAATCGCTCGCGGTGTTGGATTGTCTCGTCCAGTGCAGTACACGCCCACAGCGGTACATCTCACTTTCCTTTTCTAGATCGGGGGCGAAGGTAAGGTTGATTTAAGGGAGGGGGGCGGGGGGAGGACACTTGGCTCGTTGTCATTGCCGTGGTATGCGTTAGCGGGGGGGCCTCGATTGGAGAGAAGCTTGACTCGGCCATGATCTGGCATGGTTATCGGAAATCCAGGGTCATGCTTGCCCTTTCACTTCGCAGTTGATGCGGTGGCGCACGGTATGGAGGGTGTGGTCTTGCAGGTTGTCTGGCAAGTCATACGCAGGTCAACTGTTTGTAACTGTTTGCTTGCTGGACCGCCCGAGCTATTCATATTCTCGCCATTTCATATCATATCATATCACCTCCCTCAGACTGACTCGTGCTACGCGGAGTCTGAACACCAGGACGCAACTGTACTTAGCTACAAAGAACCCCTGCGATGTCTCTGGTGCAGCCACTGAGTTTACACTGATGACTGTTTCTTTTTGAAGTCAGATACAAGAAGCACACATGGGTATGTCTAAACGGCCGTTACCACTCGATCGCGTCAGTCTTTGGATCGTCTTCAGTTTTGATAATCTCTCAACTGACACATCTCATCACTCAGAACGCATTCATCCTCACAATAATACGCCATGCTTCCCGAAATACCAGTTCTGTGAGGCCATTGCGCACCACACCCTAGACATGCATCGCTAGCTCAGCCATGCGGACTTAGTGCAAGCAAAGTCTCACTTGCTATCAGGCTAGGCTATTTGCAACCCTGGCATGGTTGATTCTGTTCTACCTTCCTACCCCAATCCGGCGATCACGACTTGCATGGGTCGTGGATCTCGCGACGCGTGGGAAGCCATGGAATCCAGCGCGGGGGGAAATTGGCGGGGTTGGGGTCGACCACTGTGGGGTAAGCGCGATCCCCATCATACTTTTGCATCTGGAAGTGTTGAGGCCGATCGTGAAAATGGCGGGAAGACTGTCTGATAGAATGATAGAAGGACGCATGCGGGTTCTATCGACAGGAGCGAAACCCGCAAGCATCGCATTCCATTCCTCGAAGCATCGGACCCGGGCCGAGATGAGTCCATGACAGATTGTCAGCATCGGTCCACTATCGCCATCAGCATGGATGGAGATCCGATCGACTCGGCTTTTTTACCAACCACCGCTGTTATCGCAGATGAACACATACCGAGGCGCGTCGTGGGCAACCGGGAGGCTGCGTTATACCAACTTGCCCTGACCAGGAATGTGGCGGGTGCGATCTAGCCCTTATCGACACACATTCCAGGAGAGGGCAGACTGCTGGCAAAGCCCTTATCACAATCGTGGCGAGTGGCGAGGATTCTTGGAAGCTGTTCTGGCATGTTGATCGCCGGCCGCTTGGAATGTGAGATCGCGATCCGCGCGTCCGCCGACTCGAGGAGTGATGGTCCACGACCCGAGCCTCGCATGCCGAGTCTCAGATCAATCTATGAAACGAGGAAGAAATTCCGAGGCCCTTGTCGGGTTTCAAATCGGTCTACGTGAGGGTAGGGGTCTCTGTACTCGGTTTGGAAGGCATCTGGATCTATAGGAGATCCTGGCGGGAGGTGTAGATACCAGCCTCTTCTCCGTTTCAAATCCGTCGGTGAGATTCCGAATAACTCGGCCCATCGCGCGCGAAATCACGACCGGCCACCCGATCGATGGTCAGGAATGTGTCCGAAAGTGCAATTTGAGCCAACCGAGTGGCATTTCCCCGCGATGCTTCCCCAGCCGTCAACATTCCAGGGGGCGGCAGACTTCTTCGTCCAGGGCTCTTCATGGCGATCCCAAAAACTATATCTACCACGACACCGTCACTCCTTCTCCATCATCATCATCATCATCATCATCATCCTCATTATCATCAGCTTCAGCTTCATCATCACAGAGTCTAATCTCTCAAGCCTCTCGTCTCATTGATCAGCTTCATTCCTAGCTCGTTCCAAGCAACATCATCTCACCCAATTCCCCAATCAATCAATCACAATGGCCATCCTCGCAAAGACATCTTCCCTGGCTTGCTTCCTCATCGCCTGCCTCTTCTTCTCCTCCGTCATCCAGGCACTTCCTGTCCCCGGCTCCAACACTCCATCCGGAGTCTCCCCCATGGCCTTGGCCGCCCGTTCACCGGTACGCTCTCCCGTCCCAAATCCCACAACCCCCTCACTAACATATCCATCCCAATAGCGCGAGATCCCCAACAGCGACGAAGAAAAGGGCCTACTGAACGGCCTTCTCGAAGCCATCGGTCTCCCCAGCCTCTCCAAGCTCAGTCACTGGAAAGCCACCACGGAGCCTCAATCCTCCCACACCGATGACTCGGACAAAGACTCCGATTCCAATAACAACGACGACGACGACGACGCCACAAACACCCCAGCCGAAACAGACTCCGACTCCGACTCCGACTCCGACCCCCACGCGCACGCCCACTCCTTCATCCCGGATTACTACAAGAACTTCAAGGACAACTGGACCCCGGCCATCGACGATGGCAACAGCCTGACCCCAACCGTGGACTCCATCGGCGATGACACTGAGAACGACGAAGACCTGGACAACATCAACAACGGCCTGCTGCTCTCCCCACCGGCGTCCACGCCCTCCAACAACAATAACAACAAGAACAACAACAACAACAAGAACGAGGACCTCCCCAAGCCCACCGAGGACCCCCAGGGGTTCATCAGCTCGCTCAAGCAGCGGCTCGAGGATGTGCTGAAGGCCGCGTTCGATAGTCGGGATGAGTTGACTCTCTAGTCGGTTCCATCTTTCGCCTATGCCTTTTTTTCGAACTTTGGGTTCTGCGGACGGAGTTTTACTTGATTTTGATATGGTTTCGTACCGGTGTTCTGGGATATGGAGTCCGGGGGGTATCTGGTCTGGACTGGCGCTTGAGTTTTCCTTTTCCTTTTGCAAGGGTTTCACGGTTACGGGAGTCTTGGGATTTCTTTCGGGATGGATTCGGGAGCAACAAAATAGCGATGGGGGTTCTGCTTCAACTTTGGGAATTGGATGGATGGATGGATGGATAGTCAGGGCAAGAGGATGGGCGGGCGCGGTGACATGTAAAATAGAACAATCGCATAGAGATATTCAGATATGATATTCAGCCAGCGTCATAGATAATGAGAGCAATCTACCTTTTCAATTCTGCATTCACAGTCCGACACACAAAATTTGTGCTCTGTGCTTCTTCTTCTCTCTACTTGTTCTGGATGTCTGCGAGCCGTACTAAACAGCACTTCACAAAACACCATGGACAACAAGGCAGCAGCTGCCGCAATAACATCTGACATCTAGTTAGTTAGTGTCTTGTAATTCAATCCCGCCAATATCGCCATCCATTGTAAGAACCCCCCCCCCCCCTGGTTTACAAACAAACCCCAACGGAATACACGGTACATCCATTCAATCAACCAACGAAAACACACGCTATATACACAAACCTCCCCCCCCCTCCAAAAAAAAAGCCCGGAACTGGTTTGTTCTCTTGCCCAACACCACCACCACCACCACCACCAACAAAAACCATGCTAACTCGAATCCTCATCCTCATCAATCAATACAGACCGACGCAATCTACCCAACCCCAACCCAGCCCCAAGTTGCCAAAGAACCAACCGACTACCTACCTGCTCGTGTACTACAAAAGTTACAAGTTACCCAGTCCCTTGGAAGAAAGAGATGAGATGTACTCGACTCGGGCGATGATCACTCCAAAGGCTATCAATGATAAGAAAGAAAAAAACCAATCCCCATCCCCTACTGCCTTTATACTGCACGACAATCAGCTCCTCCCAAAAAAAAAAAAAAAGAAAGAAAGAAAAGAAAAAAAGGCCACAACCAAAAAAACGTCAGCGACAGGATTTGAACCTGTGCGGGCGAACCCAATAGATTTCTAGTCTATCGCCTTAACCACTCGGCCACACTGACTATTGATGCTGAGTGGGGGGAGATTTTGCCATTATACGGCAGTGACGGTGGTAGGATCCACTTTGGGCGGGACGGACGGTTGGAATTAGGGTTCGTTTGGCTGGACGGTTTAGTTACGTATCGATAATGGATGGCTGGTCGAACGCTGGGGCAATCTGGTCTGTCATTGTGTTCGAGAATTACTCCATATGATTACCAGGAACTGGCTCAGTCAATATCGACTGGCAGATCTACAGTAGGCGCATACTTCGTGGTGGAGATGGAGTTGAAGAATTAACGGGGCATTATTCCATTCCCGGCACGCACCCATGCCCAACATGATTCTCTCCAGAACAAACCAGAAAGCAAAACAGCTCGTCCACATCAGAACACAGACAAGCTATGTGGCATATAGAGAGTACTAGACATATACATACACACACACAGGGATAGATAGAGAGGAAGACACAACAGAACTGGGAATCAGAGATCATGCTGATGGGCGCATGAACGGTAAATATGATGGTGGGACGGAGTATAGTCAGCGACACACACACACACAGAGAGAGAGAGAGATAGAGAGAGAGGTATCGTAGAATCAACGAGTTTCGATCAATGATTGGCGCTAGATGGATGGGTCTAGTTATTAGACATAATATAGAGAGATGGGAACAACAAGTGCGGAATGAGAGTGAAAAGAGTCGACGTGAAAAAGAGATAGAAAGACGAGCGCAGCTAGCTGTACAGACCATCTATGGCGGATAGATGGGTGCGGTCATGGGAAGGAAACTTTTTTACACGGAAGGTCCCGAAAGGGACCGGTGATGTAAAGTGGATGGTGGATAGTGAGGGCGGAAGAGAGAGGATTGGAGCTCGGAGAGGCAAAGGTGGATTGATGGACAAGAGATAGAGGATATGTCAAGGCATTCTCATTTGTCGCCGTGAAGATTCAACCAGCTCATATCTGAATTGACATTGGCTTTCTGGCCGCTGCCGCTGTGCCCGGGCTCCTCGTGTTCCGGCATCGGCTCCAGGCTATCGGGGATGAGGATGCTGGATCCACGGTGGTTGTAAGCGCTGGATGGATCGAGACGGGAATCGCCGTCAGAGGGCATGGCCATGGAGGGTGCCATGGAAGGCGCACGAGTGCTGGGATTATAGTAGCTGCGACTGTAGGTGCTGCTGGGCGGGCGGCCCATCCAGCTGCGTGTTTGCCAGTGCGGATCGTTCTCCAAATCGTCGCCAATGGAGGAGGCGGTCGAGATGCGGGCGGACTGACTCTCGGGGATGATCATCTGTCGACCCTCGGAGGAAATGATCGACGACGCATGTTCGGTGGTCGGACTGCCGCTGATCACCTGACCGCCGAGTGGCTTGGGTTCATCCAAGAACCCGAAGTTGAGGGGCGTCAGCTTGATTGGCCATGCGGTGCTGCTGGAGTCAGTACGATTGCTCCTCAGCCCCGGAGCAGGAGGCTGAAGAGTTTGTGGCTGCATTCCGGCCAGGTCCGTCGCACTATTATCTTGAAAGTACCGACTCCACCCTTCATTCGTTAACCGATCGCCGGGGTTGCCCCCGGGGTGTAATTCTTTGACGGACAGCTCTTTGTCAAGGGCAGCACTAGAGTACGCACTCGGCGAGTATGTACTAGGAGAGGCGTCGGGGGACTGCACAGTCACTAGCGGACTCGGCTTCAACGGACTTGTGTTTTGCGCGTAGGGGGGGCGCGCTCCAGCGGATCGCGGTGTCTTCTCATCGCCCATTGATCCCGAGAAAATCGCTAGGGAGTCGACGGAGGCGGCAGCCAAGGGGGCGGGACTTTTTGCCATGGGGTACGCTGATTGTGCTAGGGGCTCCACCCCCCGATCCTGGAAGCTGAGTCGATCTTTGTCGCCACCCTGGGCTAGTTTGATGCTTTGTTTCTTGCGTTTGATCCAGAGAAGAATGAGGATCAGGATAACGCCTACACCCACAATCGCCCCAAGTGTAGCACCCACAATGGTTCCAATGTCGCTGCTCGATGAGCCTCCGACGGCAGCAGCGCTGGACGACGTGCTCGCGGAGGAGCTGGCTGAGGAGCTGCTGGTCGATGCAGTGGTGGATGTCGTGTGCGTCAACGATCCGAGGATTTGCTGCTCCGACTCATTCCCATAGAACAGATGTGTGGTGTTCACCCAGCTGTTGGCGGTCTGGTTGAAGATGGCAAGCGAACTTGTGCCGCTTCCACTGGAGATGACAACTAGTCCATCCTCACCCTGCGCTAGGGAATAGTTTTGTCTCGTGGTTGAGGAGGCCAGTTTGCTGGAATACGTTGGGTAATCGCTCGAGGAATCCTCTCTCTTCTGGCTACTCGACGAAGAATTGGTCGTCAAGGCGGTTGCGGGGTTGGCAGGCGTACCGCCTGGCTTGACTAGCTCTACGCTAGAGACTGTGTTTGGCGATACACTCATATCGAAAGCCTCAAGAACCTTGGTACCATTTGTTCCTTCGAAAAGGGCGGCTTGGACATCGCTGGAAAGTGAATCGGCCAGGGTAATATTAGAATCAAACCAGCCACGGGTCGGGTTGAATAGATGGACTCCCTTCGGGGTGGTCGTGCCGCCTACCAGGACCGCTTCGCTATCGCTCCAGCGCAACAACACAGGATGGTAGGCTGGAGATGCATTCGAGGCTGAGAAGGCGTCTAATACATATGGGGACGTGGTGTACGCGGCAAAGGTATCTGACGAGGCGACGGATTGATCCGAGGTGTGGCCGCCGTAGACCAGAATGCTGGAAGAATTAGAAAGATAGACCGCCTGGTGTCGAGTTCGATTGGCCAGGTTCTCTTGGGGGATAGCCGTCCAGTTTTTGTCTTGGAAGGAGTAACGCTGTAGGCCGGAAAGGTTGGACTGAGAACCGGAACCGCCGACCACGTAGAGCGCATGCTGGTCTTCGTCTCCATCGATACCACCCGTCACACATGCCGCATCGGAGACCGGCTCTCCCATGGTCAGGTTGGTCCATGTCGCATTAAGTTCGAGAGGAATCGACACAAAGCCATTGGCGGAGTAAGCGTAAAGAGTGTTATCATAGATGACGGAGCAATGGCCCTCCAAGTCCACAGGGGGCTTCGGAGCCAGCATAGCGTGCAAACGAGCGAAAGGCGAGAAGGGAAGGAGTGTTCTTCGATGATACCAGCCGAAGAAGCTACGGGAATGGCCAGCCGTCCTAGGTCAGCACGCGGGCGTAGGGACGAGGACGGAGATTGATCTTGGGGGTGGAAAGGACTGCCGGAGCACTATCGCATGGTCGAGGAGAATCGTGGATGGTCGTCTCGGACGAAGTGAACAGGGGGGGGACAAGGCGCAAACGGTAGCGACAGCTATGGTGCGTCGAGGGTGGGTGAGTGACGTTTGTCGAGAGAAGGATACGCGCGCAGACGGGACTGGGGAAATTGAGGGTATGGCGAGAAGGCGGGAAGGCACAAACGAATGGCGACCTAGTTGCGCGAGTGTTAATTGAGCGAGGGGCGATGTCAATTTTCAGGGGCGAAAAGGATAGCCGTGGTGCACGATATCAAATCGGCAGTAGAAGGAAGGTGAAGGGAACGAAAGCGACGAGGGGTCGAGGAGGGAAGAATGCGATACGAACGACGAAAGAACGAGAGGGAAGAGGGCAGGAAGCCAGAAGGAGGAGGAGCAAAGGACGGAGGGGAGGGGAGGGGAGGGGAGGGAAAGGAACAGCCAAGATCAGGAGAGGGAGAGAAGGGGAGAGAGTGAGAGTGTAAGGTAGTAAAGTTAGTGGTAGTGGTAGAGGTAGTGGTAGTAGTGTCTGGGCGAACAGTGGAGGATGAAACGCCGGCGGGCAAGCTTAGACCAATACTAGCCCGCGTGTAGAGCAACTTACAGTGGAGCTGGAGCATTCAGAGTTTGGATTTCGAGGTCGCGGTCGGAGAATCCAACGATTGTGATATCGATAGATCAGAATAAAAGAAGTGAGCGCCAGCACGAGTGCCCAGCACGTTGTGGTCGGGGTGGTCCGCGTGTAGGAGGGAGTGACGAGAACGAGGAGTAAACAGTCCCTGTCAGGGCGGAGAGAGCAGCCTAGTGGACTGATAGCCCAAGGAGGAAAGGAAGGAGAGAGAGAGAGGGCCAAAAGGAAGAGAGGAAGAATGAAACCGAATTACTACTAGCCCATGACTAACTTATGTCCTGGAGTATGTGCCTGACGAGATGAAGACTTGTTTGTTGATTGATTGATTGATTGATGGAGTGATTCAGTTGGAGGAAGGAGGTTGGGATCAAAAAGGAGGGGGAAAGACCCTTTCCACGGTTCCCTTTCCTGCTTCTCCTCTCCTTTGCTTCCTGCATAAGAACTGCTGCAAGGACACCGATCTGATTAACAATTGCTACAGGAACTCTACAGACGCTTTTACCGGGTGGATGGCCCCCAAGATACCGACAGTACGACAGTATTTCAGGGGAGTTGGACGGTTGGACGGTTGGACGGTTGGACGGTGTTTCGCCCAGTGGTGAGTGAGCCGGACGATCGCATTGGCCCCAAAGATGAGGAGCACAGCTACAACACTTAACTCTCAATGGATCAATCAACCCAAGGGTAGGAAGATAGCTAAATAGCTATAACCTATGTCTTGAGTCCTGAGTCCTGAGTCCTGAGTCTTGAGTCAGACAGATGAACATCAGTGGTACTGCGTAACCTCAGGTGATGTTTTTCTCTTTTCTTTCTTTTCTGTAAAGAAAGTGGGGGCAGGGCAGGCTAGTCAGGAACCGGTGCTGCACGAACAGGGATGACGCAGATTAATCTCCATCCCTATTGATTATTTCTTTATTGATTGTCTCTGATTATTCTATTAACTTATTCCATCTTACTCACTCTTTCTGTCGCTTTCACATCCAATATCCATAGACAATCAGCCACCAACTACACCAACAGACGCACTCACCTGAATCATGTCATCTCACCTCAATCACAAAAAACCCATATCATCAAGTCTGACCGGGCCAGAGCCTCGGCTTATCCATCCATCTATTTATAGATGACTCTCGAACACCACCAGCAGCAGGACCAGCAAGCAGCAGCAAGCAGCAACACCCCATCCAGAGACTCGGTCTCCCGACCGTTTCAACCCAGACGGGACCCACTCACTCACTGCCGCCCGCAGGGTGCTTGCTTGCTTGCTCTGTTTTTTTTTTTTTTTTTTTTTTTTT